GCGGTTATGAGAGGGTTCCTGATACAACAGAATGCATTAAAGAAGAGAATCCAAAATGAGAAGAAGGACAAAATTTTGGAGAAAATAAAGGAAAGTGAAAAAAAATTGAGAGTAAAACCAAAGTCACAAGAGATTTTGAGAGAAATAAAGTTATATCAAGTGCAATATATGAAAATGATGAATCAAGAGATAGAATGGAAAATTAAACAAATGAGACAAAGGACATTCGAATCGGCTAATAAATGTGGGAAATTGCTGGCTTGGCAAATGAAAAAAAGACAAAAATTAAATACAGTTACAAATTTAGAAGTGGAAGGAAAGAATATACAGAACCCAGCTGAGATTAGAAATTGTTTCCAGAGGTACTTTAAACAACTATATACACAAGGGCCACAGAAAGAAACTGACGTAGATCGATTTTTGAAAACAAATGGATTACAAAAAATCTCTCAAGAAAATAAATTAATGTTGAACTACAAAATAACTGAACAGGAGATAGAAGGTGCCATTCAGAATATGCAATTGGGTAAATCTCCAGGACCGGATGGACTGACTTCTAGATACTACAGATCTTTAAAAGAATGGCTAGTACAACCTTTGAAAGAGGTCTGTAACGAAATAATGGAGGGGAAAAGGGCACCAGAGTCGTGGAAAGAAGCATATATCACACTTGTACCGAAAACAGAGACTGAAAAGACGCAGCTTAAGAACTACCGCCCCATATCATTACTCAATGTGGATTACAAAATTTTTGCAGACATTTTGGCCAAGATATTGAAAAAGTGTTGATGGAAGAGATTCATAAAGACCAAGCGGGCTTTCTCCCGGGAAGACACTTGTCTGACAATTTGAGGAATATAATTGATATTTTGGAAAAACTAGAAGTGAACATAAATACTAAAGCAGTTTTGATATTTGTAGATGCGGAGAAAGCTTTTGATAACATTTCTTGGACTTTTATGAAAAAAAACTTACAGGGTATGGGGGTAAGCCAAGGTTTTGAAAATGGTATAAGTGCAATATATTCAGAACAAAAGGCTAAACTAATTGTAAATAATGTTGTGACGGAAGAACTTAAAATTGAAAAAGGGACACGACAAGGTTGCCCAATTTCCCCATTGCTTTTTTTATCTGTCCTGGTGGTTTTGTTGAATATGATTAGAAGGGACCAGTTGGTTAAAGGTATACAGGTCGGAACCAAACAGTACAAATTGAGAGCATTTGCAGATGACTTAGTATTGACGTTACAGGAGCCAGAATCTAGTACCAAAAGGGTTTTAGAACTGATCCAAGAATTTGGTCAGGTTGCAGGATTTAAATTGAATAAGTTAAAGACTAAGGTTTTAGAGAAAAATTTAACACCAATGGAGAGAGAGAGGTTTCAGAATGAGACAGGTTTAACAGTGGTTAAGAAAGTTAAATACATGGGGATTAAGATGAAAGCAAAAAATGGAAATTTATTTAAACACAACTATGAAAAATGCTGGGCTGAAGTGAAAAAAGATTTAGAAATTTGGTCAAATTTGAAGCTTTCAGGAGTTCCGGCAAGGCAGCATGGCGGCTGCAACAGCAGAAAAGAGCTCCTGAAGCCAGCCAGAGTAAAAGGCTCTGTCTGGCCGACTCCCGGGCTCCCAGGACTGCTGCCGCCAGCACTGCCAGCGGAGAGGAATCGGGGTGCCCGGGGCCTCTATCAAAGGAGCCAAAACACCCCCACGACCTTGATTGAGCCGGAAAGGCACCCGACCACCCCCAACAGCCGAGAGGAGCTCCAAAACCAGGAGGACAGTGGAGCTAACGCAAAGAGGGAGAAAGAAAGGGGGAGAGAGGAAGAAAAAGAAGAAAAAGCAAAAGGAGCCCCAACTTTACCGCTGCTGCCCCCATCTCTGCCGACGGGAAAGAAGAGGAGAGGTAGGGAAGGCAAAAGAGGCTCCGAAAAAACACGTGGCTGAGCCGACCGGAGCTCCAGCGGCAAGGAAAACAGGAAAGCCGCATAACAAAGGAGATCGCAGAAAGGAAGAAACTACCCCCTTCTTTTTTCCTTCTTTTTGTTTGTTTGTTTTTTTGTTTGTTTGTTTTGTTAATCCTTTTCTTTTTAACCCCTTCCCCCCCTTTTTGCTCTCCTCTCTCTCCACCCTTCCTTATTTTTTCCTATTATCCCACCCTTCCATCCCCAACATTGTTTTCTATCCCCTTTATTTTTTAAAATCAACCCCCCCCCTTTTAGCCTGTTTGTCAGTTTGTTTCTGAGGGGGGAGCCCTTTCTCCCCACCCCTCTTTTAAAATAAGACTTTTCCCCCATACCATTGCCACAGCTCACCCTCCCTCCCTCACCCCTCTTTTCTTCTCCTTCCTTTCCCCACCCTTCCCCCTCCTCCTCTCCTTTTCTCTCCCTCCTCCCTCTCTCCATCCCCCCTTCCCCTAAAGGAAACACACACACACATCCATATCACCATATCATACTTTGGCCCCCTCATACTATAGCTAAAACTACTGCTGCAATCTAATACCGCTGATATTACTGTACTATCTCTCCTCTCTATTTCAACTCTCTTGTGTCTCTCTCTCTCTCTCTTCTCTTTTACTCCAATCTCCCCTCTCCCCCCCACCTCCCCCCTTCTTCTTTCTTTCTTCTTCTTCCCTTTTTCTCCCTCCACCCTTTACATAGAGCCTATTTGTCTGTCTCTGTTTCTGAGCGCACTCCCAACCCCAACTCCCACCTTAGCTGGACCCCAGTACCCCTTTTGGGTATATACAACCCCCTCCTAAACACATATTTCCCCTGGCCCCACCCCTCTAATCTTTTGCATCTCTACCTGCTAACCCCCCCCTTTATATGAACTGTCTGCCCGTTAGTCTACCCATCTCTGCTTACCTTCCCACCCCCCGCTTTGGCGGCACCGCTGAGGCAACTACAGAAACCCTAGAGAAGTTCTCAAAACACAGGCTAGAAGTGACACAAATGACCACCTAATTCAAACGCTCTGTTTAAGCCACCAAGAAAGAACGCCTGATCAGCTCAGCAACCCAACAATACCCAGGAATCACCACTGCCACAACTCCTAACCACCACACGCCCTACTCCAAGAGGACGCCAAGCCAACCTCAAACCAAAACCATCAGGGAGACTGAGATGACACCAACCAGGGAGATGACAAACAATGCTAAGACGGTAACTCCCCTTCAAGATGATGACCACCCAATAACGAAACGAGATTTGAGGGAAATGGAAGCAAGATTAGAAGCACGATTAGAAGAAACACTGAAGGCCACAATGGCTCCCATGCAGGTACTAATCAACAACCTAACCTCCAAAGTGGAAGCTCTAGAGAACAAGAACCAAATGCAAGAAAGAATAATAGAGCAATACCGGGAGGAGAACGCACGTGTGAACAAGAAACTGGACGAACTGGTAAACCAAATTGAAGCAGAACACAGAGAGATGAAAATTAAGCAAGCCGACCTTGAAGACCGCAATAGACGTTGTAACATCCGCTTCCGCAACTTTCCTGAAAAAACAGAGGAGAAAAGCCCAGCAGACCTAATTATACGCTGGCTGAAAAACACAATCCCAAGCCTGAAACTTGAGGCAGATGACTTGGAGAGGGCTCACAGAGCCCTAAAACCTATGCCAAAACCCAGCGCCCCCCCAAGAGACATCATTGTATGCTTCACACGCTACAAAAAGAAGGAAGAGGTATGGTACCACCTCAGAAACTCAACCAACCTTCGATATGGAGAAATCCCCATACTGGCCTTACAGGACTTATCTCAGGATACCCTAAACCGAAGGAAAAGCTTGCGCCCATGCACCCAGCGTCTCCAACAAGCAGGGATCAAATACCGATGGGGCTTCCCCTTCCGCCTCATTGTAACAACCAATACAACACAACACATGGCTACCAACATACCTGAGGCCCTGCAACTACTAAAGAACCTTGAACTCGACCTCCCACCGGAATGGCAACCGACAAACCCACCAAGTGACAGCCCCAACCATGAGGAAACAACAGCAAACAACTGGACGACGGTACAGAAGAAAAAGAAACAGAAGCGGCACAACAGTGCAAACCAATACAGAGAAGCATCACGCTCAGAATCGTCCCGCCGGCCATATGACACAAGAAACCAGACCAAGATTAACCAAACCAACTCATCGCAGATGGACAACCCTACAACAACAACAACCCCAGCTGAATGAAGCAACCAGGAAAAAACCACAAACTGAAGGACTGGTGATTCCCCCCCCTTTCCCCCTCTCTCCCCCCCAAAACCATAGATTTAGTTAACACCATCAACATCCCCCCCAGCCCCGCACCCCCACAGAAATCCCCGCCCCAACACCAGTCCAGACGACCTCAACCACATTCCACATCACCCACACCTTCAACATCCCCATACCCCATACTAAGAAAAAACAACTCCAACCTTAATAACACAACCCACAGTCAGGCTAAAATCTGATACCCAACCAGCACTATGGTGGCACCAGAGCGTACCAGCACCCACATCCCCACCCCAACACACCAACAATGTTGCTCATAACATTGGCAACATTGCTTACGAACCTTATACCTGACAGCGACGTTACAAAGTCACTTCACACTGTCTCACTGATCACCCCCTATCGCAAACAACAGGGGGGATGGCCTGTCCTTGAACACGGCCTTCCACACCAGCTGAGACCTAGGACCAACCGGCTAAATGCCAGATGGCCTAAAATACCCCAAACAAACACCTATATGACTACATATAGGAAACTCTCTACAACTTACCCCTACTCTTTAACCCAAATCTTACTCTAATCCCATTAGACCCCCACCCGCCACACCCAAGGTCAGCGCAACCCCACAGGTACTTTAAACAACACGAAGAGAGAGATACAAGACAACCCAAACGGGTTGGCAGGGAATAGCCCCACAAAAAAGATAAGCAAGATGGCTAACCTAAAAGCAATTACATAAAACGTGGGGGGCTGGGAAACCCCATCAAAAGAAAACGCATCACCTCATACATAAACACCATGAAACCACACATCACCTTCCTACAAGAAATACACAACCCACCCAAAGGCAGCAAACTCCTGAGCGACCCCCGCTTCAGTCAACAGTGGGTCGCACGAGGCTCAGGGAAAGCTCGTGGTGTAGCCATAATACTCAGTAGAGACCTGAACTTCACTGCCACAACAGTCCTCAAGGACAAAAAGGCAGATTCATTTTCGCTAAAGGGACACTAGATGGCAAAATCAAACTGACAATTGGCTCCATATATGCCCCAAACACGAAACAATTAGAATTCTTCCAGAAGACACTAAACAAATTCCTCTCCTTCTCTGAAGGGGAAGCAATCCTAGGAGGGGACCTCAATCTAAATATGAAAGGCATAGCCCTGAAAGATATCCACCCTACAACCCCATGGGCAACCTTCCTCCGAAGGAAACCCCCAACAACTAGGAACCCTTACAAGTTACTAAAAATGCTAAAAAGCAGGGGTCTCTACGACATTTGGGGTGAGCAAAACCCGGGAGACATCAGCCATACATTCCAATCGGGACGCCATGATACAGTATCCAGACTGGACAGCATTCTACTCACACAGGGTCTGATCCCCTCAGTGGAATCAACAAACATAGGTAACATTAAAATCACAGATCACGCCCCAGTAGAAGTCATCGTTAAAATAGGAGAAGGAACACAAACCACCCCATCATGGTCCTTCAGTCCCATCCTAACTACAAACAAACAAATTAGAGAGAGTCTCACAAAAACCCTCCAAAACTACTTCAAGGAAAACGATGTAAACAATATAACAACCCCCCTCCTATGGGACGCAATGAAAGCGGTCACCAGAGGAGCTTGCATAAAGAGAAAACATTCCTTAAAAAACAAACCTCCTCAAAAATTAGCAAAATAGAACAAGACATCACAGCCCTCTCATCACGCTACAAACAAACAGGATCTAAAAAACTCCTCAAACTTATGGAACAAAAAAGGAGAGAACTAGACTCCCTAGAAATTAACAAAACAATGATCAACATTCTATACTCTAAACAACGTTTCTACGAATATGGGGGAAAAACTCCAGATTACTAGCAAATAGATGCAGGAAAAAAGCACTCAAAACAAGAATACACTGCATCACCAAAAAGACGGCAACATAACATTCTCCCCGAAGAAATAAACTCAGAATTTGCAGAATTCTACTCCAACCTATACACCTCCCATAACCCACCAGAGAAGGAAATCAAAAATTTCTAGCAGGACTGTCCATGCCTACCCTAACTGATGAGGAACAGGAATTCATGGACAGCCCTATCACCCCAGAGGAAATAGATGCGGTCCTCAAAAACCTGAAACCACACAAAGCCCCAGGCCCAGACGGCTTCACAGCAGAATTCTATAGGAAATTCAAAGAACCCTTGATGCCCTACATGACCCGCCTATTCAACGACATCATAAAAGGGGCCCCATCCCCAAAACCTGGACCCACTCCAAAATAGTCTCCATCCCAAAACCACTAAAAGACAGCCTCAAAGTAGAATCATACCGCCCAATCTCATTAATAAACCAAGACTACAAGATATTCACATCAATCTTGGCCAACCGCCTAAAAATCTTCCTACACAAGTTAGTAGCCCCAGACCAGACTGGCTTTGTCCCTGGCCGCAATATAACAGACCCCATCAGGAAACTACTGAACCTGATCGAACACAGCAAGGCAGCCAAACTCCCATTGACAATTATGTCCCTAGACATCCTCAAAGCCTTTGATTGCTTAGAGTGGAAATACATATTAGCAGTACTAACTAACATGAAATTTGGCCCCAACTTCCTACAAATTCTCAAACAAATATACTCCCAAGCCTCAGCAAAATGCAGAACTAACAATATGGATTCTAATACTATAGCTATCCAAAGAGGCACGAAACAAGGATGCCCACTGTCTCCCTTCTTATTTATCCTGGCTCTGGAACCCTTAGCAATCAGCATCCGAGCAGCCACAGACATCAAGGGAGTGGAAATAAAAGGCAGAACCTATAAATTAGGGCTCTTTGCAGATGACCTAATGGTCACAACACCAGACCCCATAAGCACAGCAACCTCCCTAATCAGAGAACTCAACACATTTGCAATGGTGTCGGGCCTACAGGTAAATTTTACAAAGTCAGAAGCTATGTGCTTCAACACCCCTCCTCACACCCAAAAAGAACTCACGAAGGTCACCAAAATAAAACTTTGCCACACCAAGTTCAGATACCTAGGGGTACAAATAACCAGAAACCTCAATAAATTGTACCTCCACAACTACAAGCCCCTGTGGCGACAAATTAACAAAGACCTAAAGAGATGGAATAACATGAATTTCACTCTCTCAGACAAAATAGCCATGATCAAAATGATCACACTCCCAAAACTAACCTACCTATTCCAAACCCTCCCAATCTGGATCCCCTCAACCCAACTTCGCAGTTGGCAGAGAAAACTACACTCTTTCATCTTCTCACATAAAAAACCAAGAATAAGCCTCAAATACCTGCACCTCCCCACCTCAGAAGGAGGATGGGGAATCCCCAACATAGAAGCATATTACAATGCCAACCAAATACGCCATATAATCCCATATATACTAGAAGATGAGACAAAACAATGGGTACACCTAGAGAGGGACACAATTGAAAATACCTGCACCACAACATACCCATTCCTCCCAAACAAACTAAAGAAAATTCCCACAACACTTAACAGGTACACACAGACCATGCTCAAAGCATGGAAAACACAAATAGGCAAACTATCCCCAACCCCATCCCCACTAATCCCCCTGGCGTACCACCCATTATTCCACCATGCAGCACAAAACCTCCAGATAAAAACCTGGCAAACCAAAGGCTTATATCGCCTAATAGACTTTTATAAAAATAACAAACCCTTGTCAACACAAGAAATACAAGACAAACTAGAAGACACCCAAATGCCCTGGTTAACACAACACCAACTACATGCCCTCTTAAACAACCCAACAGTAAAATCAGCAGCAACTAGGCCCCTGACAACCTTCGAAAACCTCCTCCTAACAACAAAAGGAAACGGTAAAGGGACGGTATCCGCAATATACAAAATACTACTCCAAAATCCCGCAAATCCCCTAGATGCAATCAAAAAACAATGGGAGAATGACATAGGCTATGAGATTAACCCCACTCAATGGACCAGAATGTGGTCTAAACCCCCCTTTAAATCCATATCAACGAAAAGAAAAGAACTCACACTGAAACTCACCTACAGGTGGTACCTAACACCAAGGAAACTAGCGCTAATACACCCAGGAACCTCACCAAAATGCTGGAGAGGGTGCACCTCCACAGGCACATACCTCCACATGTGGTGGGAGTGTCCCAAAATCCAACTATTCTGGACAACAGCCATACAAGAAATATGTAAAATAACTAAGCAAGTAATAGACATCACCCCAGAATTGGCCCTACTAAACATCTTCCAAGACAACAATGCCCATTTACACCACAAAGAACTCATAACCCACCTACTTTCAGCAGCCAGAAACACCATAACCAGACACTGGAGAGACCTGTCAGGAGTAAACATGGACCAATGGTACCAAATAGTATGGGAAACAGCCCTACTAGAAAAATTAACTAATAAACTGAAACTGACACGGGGACAAACAGAAGAAGACGTCTTCACCCTGGTATGGCTCCCTTTATCACATACACAGCCCAACAGGACAATGACAATAATCCACCAACAGCATACAAATCAATATGGCTAACCTGATCCAAAACACCCACCCACCTCACTCACACACGAAAACAAAGATCACCACAGCCAATCACAAGCAGACAATCACACCCTAGGCCAACCCCAACCTCTCTCACCACCAAAGGAACACAAGTGAACAACACAAGCAACGCTGACACCAAACTCTACATACATTAAACATAATAGAAACACCGCCACCCGACCCCACCCCCATCCATCTTCCCTCTCTCCACCCCCTTTCTTTTTTTCCTTTTTTTTTTCTTCTCCCCCCTAATGCCTCAACAAATGAAATGGATTTGTAAAAATGTTACATGAAAAAAATATATATACGAGGCAGTACACTTACTTCTGTAAAACAAGAAAATCCTTAATAAAATATTTAATAATAAAAAAAAAAAATTGAAGCTTTCACTGCTGGGTCGTATTGCTGCGATAAAAATGAATGTATTGCCTAGAATGTTCTTTTTGTTTCAAACATTGCAAATTTTGGACAAAATGGACTGTTTCAAGAGGTGGCAGAGAGATATTTCTAGATTTGTCTGGCAGGGCAAAAAGCCCAGAATAAAATTCAAAATACCAACAGATGCAAAGGAAAGAGGTGGATTTGCCCTGCCAGACTTTAAACTTTACTATGAATCAGCAGCCTTTTGCTGGTTGAAAGAATGGCTGCTTCTTGAAAACACTGACATTTTGGATCTAGAAGGTTTTAACAATGTATTTGGATGGCATGCATATCTGTGGTATGATAAGGTCAAAGCACATAAAGCATTTAAAAACCATATTGTCAGGAAAGCATTGTTTAATGTTTGGATAAGATACAAGGACTTATTGGAAAATAAAACCCCAAGGTGGCTGTCACCGATGGAAGCGAAAGCTCTGAAAAAGCTCAATATAGAGGTCAAATGGCCGAAATATTGGGAAATTTTGGAACAAGATGGAGATAGATTGAAATTGCAGAGTTTTGAAAAACTAAAAAACAAAGTGCGAGACTGGCTTCATTATTATCAGAAAATGGAGGCATACAATTTGGATAAGAAAATCGGCTTCCAGGTGGAAAAATCAAAATTAGAAACAGAATTGTTAGAACCCAAAATTAAGATTTTGTCAAAGATGTATAACTTGCTGTTGAAATGGAATACTCAGGATGAAACGGTGAAATCTGCTATGATTAAATGGGCACAAGATGTTGGCTATAACATAATGATGGCTGACTGGGAACAGTTATGGACCACAGGTATGAAGTTTACGGCATGCAATGCCTTAAGAGAGAATATTATGAAAATGATATACAGGTGGTACATGACCCCAGTCAAGCTTGCAAAAACCTACCATTTGCCCGATAATAAATGTTGGAAATGTAAGGAAACTGAAGGTACATTCTTTCACCTTTGGTGGACGTGCCCAAGGATTAAGGCTTTCTGGGAGATGATATATAATGAATTGAAAAAGGTATTTAAATATACCTTCTTGAAGAAACCAGAGGCCTTTCTCCTGGGCATAGTCGGCCAATCGGTGTTAAAGAAGGACAGAACTTTTTTTATGTATGCCACAACAGCAGCAAGAATACTCATTGCAAAGTATAGGAAGACACAAGATCTACCCACTCTGGAAGAATGGCAGATGAAGGTGATGGACTATATGGAATTGGCAGAAATGACTGGCAGAATCCGAGACCAGGGAGAAGAGTCGGTGGAAGAAGATTGGAAGAAATTTAAAGACTATCTACAGAAATATTGCAAAATTAATGAATGTTAGAATGATGATGGATTGAAGTTAAGTGGTTTCTAGCTGTAATGGTATAAAAGAATATGAAAGAATTGGATTTTTAACAGGTAAAAATTTAATGCTATAATATATTAAGATTAAGGATCAGGATAAAATAAGGAGGGAAAGGAATTGCTGAACTAATAAATTGAACTGGAATACAAAAAAGGGAGGTATGAGGAGGTCCGGGAAACAAGCAAATGAAAGATAAGTGACAAAAAGATGGAATTGTTTTTAACTGTTTTTTTTATTTTGTATTTTTTCTTTTTTTCCTTTTTTCTTTTTCATTATGTAATATTGTGAAAACTTTAATAAATATTTATTAAAAAAAGAAAAATTTTAAAACATTTTAAAAGCACTCTGCACCCCTCCAGCAGTAACAGCAACTGTCCTAGTGAGGCCCGTCAGGCCCTGCCCTGGGCCAGGTGGTAAGTGGCAGGAAGGAGCAGGGCCCTCAGACACTCACACAGGAGAGCCCTCCTGGGCAGCAGAGCGCAGCAGTCCCTGTGAGGCTTCAGGCCCCGCCCTGGGCCAGGTGGTAAGTAGCAAGAGCAGGGCCCTCAGACACTCACACAGGGGAGTCCTCCTGGGCAGCAGAGCAGTCCTTTGGAGGCTTCAGGCCCCGCCCCAGGCCAGGTGGTAAGTGGCAGGAAGGAGCAGGGCCCTCAGACACTCACACAGGGGAGTCCTCCTGGGCAGCAGAGCGCAGCAGTCCCTGTGAGGCTTCAGGCCCCGCCCTGGGCCAGGTGGTAAGTAGCAAGAGCAGGGCCCTCAGACACTCACACAGGGGAGTCCTCCTGGGCAGCAGAGCAGTCCTTTGGAGGCTTCAGGCCCCGCCCCAGGCCAGGTGGTAAGTGGCAGGAAGGAGCAGGGCCCTCAGACACTCACACAGGGGAGTCCTCCTGGGCAGCAGAGCAGTCCTATTGAGGCTTCAGCCCCCCCCCCGGGCCAGCTGGTAAGTGGCAGGAAGGAGCAGGGCCCTCAGACACTCACACAGGGGAGTCCTCCTGGGTAGCAGAGCAGTCCTTTGGAGGCTTCAGGCCCCGCCCCGGGCCAGATGGTAAGCGGCAAGAGCATGGCCCTCAGACACTCACACAGAAGAGTCCTCCTGGGCAGCAGAGTGCAGCAGTCCCTGTGAGGCTTAAGGCCCCGCCCTGGGCCAGATGGTAAGTGGCAGGAAGGAGCAGGAGGCAGACAGTCTCTGCAGTCTTTCTACCCAATGTTCTAATCCCTATCACACCCAGACTGCTCCAGATGGCCTGAGCCAACTCAGGGTGATCCAGGGTCATCTTCAGCCAACTAAGCCAAAGTCGGGATACCCCTGAGTCAGCCTGATTCAATCCGAATTCAATGTACAGCCCCAATATTTATAATGATGACTGCCATCAATGTGCAAAGCACAAGAGGATGAGCCCCTGAACCCCAAATTTACAATTTAAATTTGTATACAGCGGAGGTAACAGAGAGAGAAAAGGAATATGGAGTCTCGGTAAGAAGGAGAAGAAAATGCATTTGTTCATTGCTCATGCTTAGACTTAGTTAACTTTCTATGGATTAAGGCCATATTTGATTGCAAAACTTCATTCTCTCTCTGCCCTATAAAATCTTTCCTTCTTTTTAAAGTTCCTTGTTTGGTTTCTAAAGGATGACGCCTGCAGTGAAACATTATTATTCCAGTATGAGGAATGACGAGAGATAATTATCCTAATAACATTTCTTGAAGCTGGGAAAAAATATATGGCTTATTTATACAGCACATTAGCATTTGTAGTGTATGCAAAACAAGTAAATAAATGTTAAACTAATATATTACTGAAAAAGTCAATATTGATTACTTTGAAGTTGAAGTGCCAAATAAGGGGCTTTACAAATGGGTTCCAGTCCAACCAAGAAGAAAAATATGATATTCAGAGTAAAATAAATGGCTAGGCTATAATTTAATCACTTAATCCATTGCAATAATATTTTGCTGTAATTTATTGTGTTACTACACAAGCATTTAAAAAATAGCACATTACCAATTCAGCTGTGATGGCTATTGTAAGGATGGCATTACACGAACATCATTTGGGCCATTTATCTTTTTAACTAATAGTTCATTATTTTAATACATGAATCATTTTTGTAAACCTCTCCTACACGTTTTTTTTTTTTTCCTTTTCACATTCTTCTTTCAGTGCTGAACACAGAAAGTTGGAGAGGGATGACAGAAGCACCGCTTCAGATGAAGGATATTGTAATGGAACATAAATACAATGGTAGGTAAATACAATGAGCATAATGGTGTTGATTTCTCTACAATTAACTAAAATTTTGCCCTAAGCAGAAATGTTACACCACTCTGTTGCAGTCTACATCTAGACTTCAAGCCTAGCCCCACTTACATGGGGATAAGGCCCATTTAAGTCAAGGGCTCCTCCAGGTGAGCTATTAATTGAGCACTGCTCCTGATTTACTTATACAAAGCTTACATGGAAGGTGGATAATATGCAGTCTTAGTTGCAAGGGCAGCCCACCCATGATGCAAGATGAGGCAACCTCCTCAGGCAGCAGAATCCATAGGGGCAATGGATTCGGCCTCCAAGGAATGCATCACCTAATGTTCCCAATGTAAGTATTTATTTCCTTCTTGTTTCTGATGTGAATTTTAACTTCCCCTCTTCTTCCTCGGTAGGTGGGTCAAGTGGGCACCATTTTGTGGCTTGCCTCAGGTGCCAAAATGTGTTGTGCCAGCCCTGCTTTGCTGCATACTGAATGGACATTCATCCAGACTTGCTTGCAGGGTGTTTATATGCCTTCCTATTAGCTACCCGTTCACCCCACACTTTTCAATGCATTTCCTAACTGCAATATGGTCAATTTATTTTTAATATGCATTGGCTGTGCTGGGGTGACAGAGCACTGTAATCCACGTTAATTGTGCAAACCTAAAGTTCCCACTGTGCACTTGATCCCTTCTGCGAAATGCTAATGGTCTGGATGCACCTTAAGTAGACGCAGTTAGGATGGTGCTGTAAGTCTCAAGGAGTTCAGTGAGGCTATCTTCCAGATAGGCGGGTATAGGAATAAAGTCTTAGTGACAATTTCTCTGCTCCAGAAACTTACTGTGTTCTGTATGTATGAATGGAACCTGGAGGTTATATAATTGGAAAATAATTCATTGAACTAATAATATCTTTGCATATCCTGGTAAATAGGGGTGAGAAACATCCAGCTCATAGGGAAATTTAATTTTGTCCATGAGACCATTTCTCTAGAACCATGGCCACCAGTAATCAGCTGACATCATCTGATGGGCAGGGGATGGGTTCAGTACTGCTGGGTGAGATCCCCTGTGGGGGACGCGCTAGTATAGCAAACCCCTGCAGAGAACAGCAGATCAGTCGAGAGTTCAATCTCGCTAAGTGCTGATGTCAGATGATTGACAGGTGTGTGCCTCTGTTCATCTGTAAAAGTTGGCCAATGAGATAAGGGGAGATAAAGACCTGGTCCACTGGGCCAAAACGTTTCCCCACCTCCGCAGTAAAAAGCAAATAAAGCTACATCCCTTATTAATTCCAAACTTTACGTCTCATCTCTTTATTTTCATGCTTGCTTGCTTGCACTCTCTCAAAAAATGCCAACAAGGTTGAAGCATTTGAGTTTTAAAAATATATAAATAAATCAAATCACATTTGAACTGTGAATTCAAACTGTGTTTTGACATTTATTTGAATGGTGAAATTGAAATATTATTCTGATTTATGGTTGCAGATATTTCTTTTGGCTCTACCCATTTGCAAACGGCTTAGATCTGAACTGTATTGCAAAGTGTGTTGCTGAGACCTAGTGTGCTCTAAACTGTAATGAGCCTTGAAGGTGTGTTTTTTTTTTTAAAAAAAAGTATTCTGCAGCATTTCTGAAGCAAAGTCATTTCGTTTCTCTCCATATTAATAATGTACATGCATTTAGGGCACAAAACAACAGTGTATTGACTCATCAACACTGAGCATTTCTGCAATTAGGAAACTTATCTAATCTGCATAGCCAGTGACAGTTCGGGGACTAATTCATACATTTTAACGGTCTTTTCATTTACCGCACGGCATGAGGTGACAATGCTGGTCGGTTGTCATACAGCTTGCATTTGATTTTATATCATCCTCGCATATGGCGTTATCATCACTGCACATTCCCCATGGGAGCCATGTACTCATACTGGAAGGCTCTCAGTGAGAGGAGAAGAACAGGCAGTCTGTACTGGCTAACAGATCCTCTCAAGAGGGAATGGGAGTTGTTTTCCCCCATCTAAAATGGAAACACTCATTCTATGCTGTTCTGCTTCATCAAAGAGCAGGTTGAATGAATATGGCCTTTGGGTTTTTCCCCCCATCTAGGTTAATTTCTATAATTTTTTTTTTAATTTGCAAAGAACAAGGAGGGTCTTACAAGGAATTTGGAAGTCATGTTGGAATTAGTTATGTGTGAACTTTTTTTTTTTTGAACGTGTATCAATTTTGGATTGTTTTTGTTGACTGTTTTATATTGTTTTGTTTTTAAAACCAATAAAGCGTTTTTTAAAAAAAGGAATTTGCTTCCCAAATTCTCCTTCGGTTGGTTTGTTTATTTGTTTTGTATGCTGAAATTTCATTTAAGAAAATTGAAGTGGTTTACTACAGTTATATATATATATGTAGATAGAGCTCATTAACATGGGAAGGTAGCCCATCGAGAAGAAAGACAGATCCTAAACCTGCACTGCCTTATGAGATATATTTGGGAGAAGAAAAGGCTAAGAAGTAAACCCTACAGAAATCCAGAATAGAGTCCCTAAGACAGTTGGATGGTCCTTACACATCTGCTTCTGGCAACTCTTACAGCAAAGCTGGATTACGTAAATGGCAGCAGAGATATATTACAAAAATTACATTACCATTATCTTATTCCATCTAATTCATTTCAATGTAAAGGAATCACAATAAACATGGGGATGGGTGACATAATCAATTACATATTGTTGGCAGACCAAAAGCAACAAGAAGAGCAAATCCCATTGCATTCACTGTTCTGGACATGGGACAAATAAGGTAACTTTAGCAGTGTCTGCTCCCACTTCCATTGTCATTGGAATTCTCATGCATCCCTAAACATCACATACCGCACCACAGCCATTTTTTGTGACTGGCACTCAAAATTCTCACAAAAAGTTCCACATTATGACATGGCATCATTCTCACGGTCATTGGTGTGTGTTTGTGAAACTATCTGCTCCACACTGATTTCAGCTCTGCCACTACTTGAAGTTTTATTTTTAAAAGGAAGATGAAGAAATTATTTGAAAAAAAGCCCACTCACCTTCTCAATGGCTGGCGCTGTGGACCAGCAGCTGCTCCCACAGGACCCGACAAGGGAATCCCAGGGTTGCGATCCTGCCTGAACAGGCAGGGGTGTGTAATCAGATGCTGGATCCAAGCCTATCTGCCTGATTGGCCAATGGCAGGCAGGCTTGGACGCAGGACTGACCTTGGGGGCAGGACTGACAGAAGAGACAGGCTTCCCTCAGGTCTGCTCCTGGTGGATTTAAACAGCCTGCACCTGGACCTTCCACCTTGGTTTTCCTACGGGGGTCCACCATATTTGATGTAAGTCTTAGGAACCCCCACTGTCGGATTAACCTATGGCGTCACTTCTGGAAGGTGGGCTGCAAGTTAGCGATTACCCAGTGCCTTGCCAAGCCTCTTTCATCTGTATTCAAGCCAAGTCTGCTGTGTCTTTGTTTGATTTGGCCAATGCAGATGGAGGGAAGCATGAAGCCTTGGCCTGCAAGGAGAACACAAGAACAGCCCTGCTGGATCAGGCCAGTGGCCCATTCAGTCCAGTATTCAGTGGCCAACCAGAAGCCTGTGAGAAGCCTGCAAGCAGGACCTGGGTGCAACAGTGCTCTCTCCTCCTGTGGCTTACAGCTACAGGTATTCAGAAACATACTCTCTCCAAAAGTGTTGATAAAACTTTCAAGGTTAGTAGCCACAGACAGCCTTATCCTCTATGACTTTGTCTAATCCTGTTTAAAAACCACCAAACTTTGCGGCCATCACTACCTTTTGTAGGAGTGATTTTTGTAGTTTAATTATGTGCTGCATTAAATAAGTACTTTCTTTTGTTTGTCTAAAAAGGAGAAAGAAAAGCAAGAGAAAGAACCACGAGTTTATAACCATGGACATTTTCCTGTGTTAAGGTTTTTAATCTACACAGTACTTTTTGAAGCGACTGTTTGCATTGGCCCAGTATGTCTGACAGACTTTTCTTCACTGTAGGTGGCCCTGACAGATACTGATGCCCGAAAACTTTGTGGGTGATTTCATTTTTCAAATAGGTAACTAAGTTTTGGAGGAACTACAGCACTTGGATATTTGTTTCTGCTTCAGTGATTCTTTTTCTGGCTGCCTTGGCTTGATTTGATCTGTTCTTTCTATTCCATTTGTTTACTCCATGGACACACAAACCAGCCTACAAGATTAAAAACAATTTTTAAAACCCCCAAAATCAAAAGCAAAACAAAACCCAACCAACTTTGGGGATGTTCAAGCAGGATTTTCAGAAGCAGAAGTATCAGCCACAAAGACCTTAATTTGGCATTCTCAGAAGTATTCGGTAAGTATTAGGTACAGGTAGGTAGCCATGTTGGTCTGCGGTAGTCGAAACAAAAACAAACAAACCAAAAAAAAAATCCTTCCAGTAGCAACTTAGAGACCAACTAAGTTTGTTATTGGTATGAGCTTTCGTGTGCATGCACATGAAAAGTATCTAAAGAAAAGGTATCTGAAGAAGTGTGCATGCACATGAAAGCTCATACCAATAACAAATTTAGTTGGTTTCTAAAGTGCTACTGGAAGGATTTTTTATTATTATTCAGAAGTATTAGTACCATGATGAAAATCAAGGCTGGAAGAATTCAATATCACATTTAACTTACATTCGAATCAATGGAGGCTGATCCATTTGGGCTGATGAGACAATACTACACCAACCTCAGTCTGTTCTCAGCCAGCCCTTACCTGCCTGCCTTCTTCCTTACAACCAGTTTAGTTAGTGGCACTCCCTGTCAGATTCCTCCTCCTTGGTCTCAATGTTGCCCATGTAGAACTCAATGGGGAAGAAGATGGGGGAGGGGCATAATTTCCCTGCTTGCAGAATTCAGACTCTGCATGACATAGTGAGAAGCCGTGATGGCTTAAGGATTTTTATGACAGTCCCGGCATTTCTGCGTGAATTGAAGACTATGCACACTGAAAATGGTAGTCACTAATAGATGGCCACTGTAGCATAGCCACCCTGGCCACCATATTCTGCACCAGCTGCAGCTTCCAAACCAACCTCAAGAGAAGCATTGGCTTTATGTTTACTGGAAAACTGTAGATGCTAGCTAGCTAGCTAGCTAGATAGATATCACATGTACAGGCTATACAGTCAAGTTTCCAGACTGAGTGAATTGATTTCAGAAAGTTGGAGTAGGGATTAGTTTTCTCTTCTTTGCAAAATGGATCTTGTGGGTTGCCAAATTAATTTAAAGCATCACAGTGTTACCCACAAAATAAGGCAGGAGTCAAAAGCATATCAATTAGTTTCCTTCACACATAGCTGAAAATAGATAAGGGTTAATGGTAAAATAATTTTAACACTGACAAAGGCCTTCCTTCAGGCCTGAGAGCAATCTGAGGCTTTACCAGCAGAAGCAATTGGGGGCAGAAAGCATTAAGCAAAAGTAACACAGAGCTGAACCCTCATGCATGAGAACTCCAGGCTTCTCCCACCCAAACAGCTGAAGTTGCTGACCTAGAATTGGGAAGTATTGTATTGGTCACGAAAGCTAAATCTACTTTGTCAGAAGGTTAACAGAGTACAGCATGTAAATTGCAAGAGCTATGAAAAATAGATGGACTGGAAACATTTAATTTTATGAATGCATAGAGTTAGCTCGCTGAAAAGTCAGAACTTTGTGAAGGAATTGACAGCGTGGCCAGAATTTGATTAAATGGCTTAATATATCTCTGTGTATATTAAGTGGGTATGATTGGAAGTGAATGTATCTTCAGCTGTTGTGAGTGGTTTCTCCAACGCAGGCCACGTTTTTGCCCAGACACCCAAACACTCACCTCACTGAAGGGTATCTTCTTTATGAATGCCTGTGCCTGTTTAATTTTTTGTTCAAGGATGGAGAGCATTTGGTCACCAACTCCCATCATTCCTGACTGCCAATGGGAATAAGGATGTTGAACATCTGGAAGGTCACCACCATCCCATGCCTGGTTTAGTGCAAATAACCAACAATACCTTCCGTCTAGATCAAACTTCACCCATCTGATGCCTCCCAGAGGTTTAGACTACAATTTCCAACCCCTGTTGGTGGAATGGGACCTTGGTGAAGGACATTGTTTTGGTTGCCCTTTTCTGGACTTTTTAGTTTAGAGGAAAGGTCAACAAGAGGTGGCATGATAAAAGTTTCTAAAATTATGCATGGCATGCAGAAATTGGATAGGGAAAAGTTTCTCTCTCTCTCAAAACAATAGAGCTCATGGGCATCCAATAAAGCTGAATGTTGGAAGAGTCAGAACAGTTAAAAGAAAGCACTTCTTCATCCAGTACACAGCTGAACTGTGGAACTTGTTCCTACAGAAGACAGTGATGGCCATTGGACTTAATGGCTTTTAAAAAAAGGATGAGACAAATTCATGGAGGGCAAGGTTGCTAGCCACAATGGCTATGCTCTGTCTCTACTGTCAGAGGCATTATGCCTCTGAATATTGGTTTCTGGGAATCGCAGGTGGGCAGAATGCTGTTGCACTCATGTCCAGCTAGCAGGCTTCCCATAGGCAACTGGTCAGCCACTGTTAGAACAGGGTGCTGGTTTAGATGGGCCATTGGCCTGATCCAACAGACTTACATTATGTTCTTATGCTATCATCAGCAGAAATCCCTTGTGGTCCACAATGAGGTAGGTGTATTTGTATGCAAAGTGGTATAATTCTGCACACCCTCTCCTCAAGTTTAGCTATGCTGGCTCTACTACAGTACTTGTGGGTGAATGGATGCTATTTTTCTAATGGGGCATTCATCCTCTTCACACGCACGCACACACACACACATTTCTAGGGAATACCACTTTATTTATTTAAAAATTATGTGCTTCCCACCTTTGATGCTGTAGCATTTCTTTCAGCAACTTCAGAAGAAACCCCCATCGGAGCCAAAAAGAAATTCTTAGCATATCTTGTAAAGGAGACTGATGATCAAAAGTTCTAAGTGTAGCTTGTATTTAATTATTTATAAATGAAACTGGTTTTTTTGGAGGGGGGGTCCTAAAAGTTTTTCCCCCAGAAGCAAAGTGATGAACAGTTAAGGATTTATTTATTTTATTTTTTTCCTCAATGCCTTGCAACTGCTTGACAGGGCTAGCAATTTCCAAAGAAGTTTCTGATAAAATATTGAAGATGCAACGAATGACCTTATGGAGTCCTAACATTTCAGCTGACATTTTCGTACATGATCTATACTCTTCTCACTGATTAGAGAGTGAATCTATCAAATGGACCACACCCAGTTCCTGTATTGGTGACAATGTCATATGAATATACAGTTCACAATGCTCTCTAGGGTAACTGTACGGGCCGAATTTTCCCAGTAGCCTAGGGTTGCCATATTTCTAAAAGCCACTTCCGAATTCAAGAGAAGGTGGAGTTGCAGGCTTCATGCCCTCTCCACGTGCGTGGGGGCTGACTCTCAGCCCCCGCGCCGATTGAGGGAATCCCCGGATAGTCAGTTAGGACTGAAGCCGGATAGTCGGTTAGGACCAATGCCTAAGCCAATGCCGCTCATTACCTGTAACCAGTAAAGTTGTGGCCATTTTAGCCCATTAACCTAATTAATTATGTCTTGTGTTTTTATTTCCATCGGGGGAGGTGGGAACTTGCCACGCAAAGTGAAAATTTGGCAAAGTTGTTGAGCAGCCCTATACAAGCCCAAGTTTTGGCTTTTCGTTACTCAATAGAATTAAAGGTTAGGGTGCACAGATTGCAAAAGGTTTATGGTGGCTCAGTGCTAGAGCACATGCTGGGTAAGCAGAAGGTCCCAGGTTCAACCACGAGTGTCTCTAGGTAGAGTTGAGAAATACTTTCTGTCTGAACATTTGAGGAGCCACTGCCAGTAACTGTAAACTAGTATTCCTCACCTTTGCATCCCCAGTTGTTAGGCTACAATTTAGGAAATAAGTGTAGCCTTAGGAAATAAGTGGTTTAGGAAATAAGTGTAGCCTTATTTCCTCCCTGGAAAAAGAAGGTGGGGGAGGGAAGAACATAAGGCCTACAAAAGGGTTGACTTTAGCCCCACAAAGAAAGGTGACTATAATGGGGAACGAGCAGAGACAAGGAATTGCTGGCTGTCCAGACAGGTTGAATTTTGTGGGGGTTTTGCTGAAGCTTTTATCCCTTGTTATCAAGCTTCTTTTGTAAATATACTTTTTTGTTGAAGAAGCACAATGAATGAGTTTATTTGGCTTTGCAATTCATGGCCGATTTGGACATTAGCATAATTCTGGACAACTACTCGAGCTATATAACCTAAGGACAGGAAAAACAATTAACAGTATTCTATAAAGTCATAATAACTCATCATGTTGCCAGGATCCTTCCTAATCACATGGAACTTTACTCCAATACAACAAAAAATGGATTAGCTGTGCCCTGTTGGTTATCAAAAGAATTGTTTTGCAACACTACAATGGACGGAAGCCTCATTCACTCCATGTGAACTACAGACACACAGAACTATATACATTTACAAAGCCATTTACGGTGGGCAAGGTTGTTGAGTCAGTGGTGGCTGGTGGTCACTTTCAGGTGTGGTTGGAGGAAGAGGATTATCTGGACCCATTTAATTCTGGTTTTGGGGCTAGATTCAGAACTGAAAGAACCTTGATGCCCTGGCTGAAGACCTGTAGGACTGTTACCAGAAAGAGGCATTAGTGGACTGTTGTTCCTTGGCAGTAATGCTCTGAGGTACTGCAGGTTTCATCCTGTCCTCCATGCTTTTTATCAAGATCGGTACCAATAATAATAATAATAATAATAATAATAATAATTTATTTATACCCCGTCCATCCTGCAGGGTTTCCCCAGCCACTCTGGGCAGCTCCCGATGGAATATTAAAAATAGAATCAAACATTCCCTAAATAGGGCCGCCTTCAGATGTCTTCTAAAAGCCAGATAGTTGTTTATTTCCTTGACATCTGATGGGAGGGCATTCCACAGGGTGCCTGGTTCCCTGTAACTTCACTTCTTGCAGTGAGGGAACCGCCAGAAGGCCCTCAGAGCTGGACCTCAGTGTCCGGGCTGAACAATGGGGTGGAGATGCTCCTTCAGGTATAATGGGCCGAAGCCATTTAGGGCTTTGAAGGTCAGCACCAACACTTTGAATTGTGCTTGTAAACGTACTGGGAGCCAATGTAGGTCTTTCAGGACCGGTGTTATATGGTCCCAGAGGCCACCCCTGGTCACCAGTCTCACTGTCACATTCTGGATTAGTTGCAGTTTCCGGGTCACCTTCAAAGGTAGCCCCACGTAGAGCGCATTGCAGTGGTCCAAGCGGGAGATAACTAGAGCATGCACCACCCTGGCCAGACAGTCTGCGGGCAGATAGGGCCCCACCTGCGTACCAGATGGAGCTGGTAGACAGCTGCCCTGGACACAAAATTAACCTGCGCCTCCATGGACAGCTGTGAGTCCAAAATGACTCCCAGGCTGTGGACCTGGTATTTCAGGGACACAATTATCCCATTCAGGACCAGGGAGTCCTCCACTTTCTGGACACAGCCCAGAA